AAGAGTTGAAATGATTAGTGTCAGCCCTCTTGCCTCAGTCCCCTAGGAGGGGTAGATGTTACCTTTAGAACTCTAAATGGGAAGGGGGGGTCAAATGGCACATCATTTTGAAGGGCGTTCAATTCTCTTTCCAACGGTACCCTAGTTTATCGTTTTCTGTTCAGCAATTTCCAAATGCCGTGTTAATTAGAAAACTTTCCACCCTTAATCTCAATTCCACTAGGTAATTGATATGAAAAATAGAAAGGACCCGTCAATTCCATTTTCAAGGAAGATACTTGAAATGCATATTCTCAGCCCTATTGGTTCAACCCCCTAGGAAGGTTAGAAGTTACCCTCAGAACATAATATCCAAAGGCGAGTCAATATGCACATTATTTTGATCTGAAAAATGCCGTTTTAAACGTACAAAAGTAATTAGAACATAATATCCAAAGGCGAGTCAATATGCACATTATTTTGATCTGAAAAATGCCGTTTTAAACGTACAAAAGTAATTAGAACATGCCTGCACTGAGATGCATCGTTTTCAACTTAGTATTATCGTATTGACTATCCTTTCAGTCCAAATGTCTATGTTCATACTGGTGGTTGTTCAGGGGGAATGTGCATAAAGCAACTCGCCCGATATATTCAACTAGCACCCTTTCAAGTTCTTTCAGCAGGAAGGATGTAAAGCTAAGTGGTGACTTCAAATTCCCTCAGACCAATTAGTCTCGATCATTCACACTGAAGACTTTGGAGAAGCTGGTAGACAGGCACATTAGGGGCGGCACACTGGCAGAAAATCCACTGCACAAAGACCAATATGCCTACAGGACCGGTTTTTCGACAGAAACAGCGGTCCATGAACTAGTTGAGGGTGGAAAACACGCTGAAAAACAAACGAAGAGGTACTATTAGCAGCCTTTTTAGACATGGAAGGAGCCTTTGATAACACCTCAATATACTCTATAATTAGAGCTCTCAGACAGAGAGAAATCGAGGAACCCTGTGTGGCCTGCTAAGAAACCGAACGATTTATACCACTGTAATGGGAGATAGTAGAGGCCAGGGCGACCAGAGGATGCCCATAGGGAGTACTCTCCCCACTCCTGTGGAATCTGGTTATGGACGGGCTACTGAGGGTACTCAATCACAGTGGACATAGAGCCCTTGGATACGCAGACGACATAGTAGTCTTAGCACTAGGAAAGAACAGTCATCTTCACAGAACATGTCGCACGTGGACGGTGTCAGCTCTCTTAATCACCGCTGCAATAAGAGCGCTCATACCGACCACCCGCGACATGTTCACTGAAGACGAGTGTACAATACCCTAGTCAGAGATCGCATGAAAGAAGCTCTGGAACTGGTAAAGGAATGGACTGATCAGGAAGCCCGCATAAGGCCACCATGATAGCATTCACACAAAGACACGAACTAGAGGGATAAGGTCCTCTCAAACTTCGAGGAGAAACAATCCAGTTGAAAGAAGAGGTCAAAGACTTGCATGTCTAGGAATTACGGGGGCCATGAGATCAACGCCAACCACTGCCATGGAAACACTACTGGATCTGCCTCCCCTCCACTTGATGGTTCTAAAAATTGTTCTAAAATTGTTTTATCCGTCATTCGGTTGCCCCCTTACGAGCAACCCTCAGAAGTCTTCGAGAGTCTTGTGCGAGCAAGGAATGACGGGGGCCTTACCTTTTAACGTGTGATCCCAAACACTTTCTTGGGCCATCAGAAAAATTTCTGCAGTCGACGGGAATCGAACCCACGACCGGCAAGCGAATGCGGATTAGAATATGGACACTCTGTCCGCACGGCTACCTGGCCCCTGGCTGGTACAGGAAGAGACGCGGCTTGGTGCCTTCAGACTGCAAAATACACTGGGCAATGTTAACATAGGAACAGCACATATAAGCATCCTCAGAATAGTGAACAAGGACATACCTAATATGAGAACAGATCAAATTTAGAAACGATATATATTTGACACTTCATTCATTGTCCATACCAGACAGATCTTAATGGAATGATGGAGAGCATACTGCAAGGAAAGATCTGGTATACAAACGAGCCCAAGACTGAATGGGTATATACTCCAAACATCCGGAGATTAGCTTCAGCTACTCATTGGGGAAGTATGACTCAGTTTTTCGATCAGAGGTGTACACAATTCTCCAATGTGCGGAAAAAAATGACAGGAGAGCAGTGAAAATTGAGCAGATTCACGTTATGGCAGACAGTCAAGCGGCACTGAAGGCAATAGAAAGTCAGGAAGTGACATCTCGACTGGTATGGGATTGCAAGAGGGAACTGAGAACTTTGGCAGACCAGAACTGCGACAAGCTAATCTGGGTGACAGGACATCAGGGGATGAAGAAGGCTGACGAACTTGCAAGAGGGTCGGACAACGAGCTAGATCCAGGACAGACTCCTGGAGTACCAAAACGTACAGCACGAGTGTCAGTTGAAGACTAGATTCAGGCAAAACATAAGAGCTACTGGGAAAACATCCCAAGAAGCAGACATGGGAAACAATACATTAAGGAACCAAGTCATAAACGAACTGTAGACCTGCTCAACTTGACCAGAGTACAGATAAAAACTGTTACGGGACTAAAAACTGGCCATGCGCCAGTAAAGGAGCACCTCACCAGAATGGGACTGTATAATGGCGACCCAAGCTACAGACTATGCGGAAAGGAACCAGAAACAGTATCACATCACATATACTGTGCAGATGCGAGGCATTGGACCGCAAAAGACAGAAGATTATTGGGCAACCAGTTGGCGAACCAGAAGTATTTAACATCCAGTGAAGGATCTGTACAGACTTGTTCAAGGTACTGAGATAATGGAGTGGGCAGAATAAAAAAAACTACTAGGTATGATACAATGGGCTACCAGGCCTAAGTGTCGTCGGAGACATTGGTCAGACGAGCCTACAAGCGGGGTGGTTAGTGGGTATACCCTGACTAGTCAGGGGACTCCTACACTATCATATGGGAGGTTAGACCCATATGATGTCCATAAAGGATAAAGGAATTGGTCTCACCGATTTGGGATGTGGGTCTGAGCGGCCCACTTTTGCTATATTTGTGGTAAATATACCTTGCCGCTAACCAACTGGGTGATATGTAATTCCACGCCAGCCAAGTTCTATACAATTTGATGAGTATGGGTAAAAGTACTTCCAGTCTGTTTTGTAGCAGACCTGGAAACAACTCATCCTCTACAGGAGATTTGAGGATCTGAAATGATTTTTTTGCCTATACAATTGCCAGTGCTATGATAACTTTCTTAGCGACCTCCTAATCGTTATTCTTAGGAAATTTGGCGCCCCCAAAGAGAGGAGGTCGATTGTTATCAAGAGTTAGGCTTCCAGGAAAGTGGTTTTCTATGGAAAGCTCTAGAGAGAATCTTGTAATGTGTGGTATGTTAGCTATATTCTTACAGAAAATGCATAATGCCTAGTGAATAACACGTATTTCGACAAATAATTTCTGTTTTTTATTGTTGAGCAGAAAATTCGAAAATAGAGTAAGTAATTAATAAGCCTTTGAATACTGATATATCAAGTCAGTGAAGCTGGCAAAGCCACAGGTTTCTTTGAAAAAATATGCAGCTACAAATTCCAAAATTGGATAGTTATTTAGCCTACACTACTATAACTTTACCCTCAGCTTTACCTCATAAAATCGCCATAAAAACATTCTTTTGATATAAATGCATGATGTCTAGTGAATAATGCCTATTCCAACAAATCATTTTGATTTTTTTTGTAGGTTGAGCAAAATATTTGGAAATAGGGTAATGAATTAGCCTAAAATTGGCTTCTGTATCCCAATTTATCAAATCGGTGGGAAAATATATCCTTTTTGGAAAGGGCTCTGCTGAATTCAGCCAAAGATGGTAAAGCCACAGTTTATCATTTTTAATATGCAGCAAAAAAACTCGAAAATGGGATAGTAATTTAGTCTATAATCAATATTAACACTTCACCACTTCACCTCATGAAATCTTCATAAAATTTGATTTTGCATAAATAATAAATATGGGGAATATGGACAAATCAATTCGTTTATATTTTCAAAAATTGTAGAACACAAAATTTCAAAATGAGTTATTTAATTAGCCTTCAAATCCCAATGAATGGAATTGGTAAAAAATACTTTTTTTTCAAAAATAACTGCTGGCCAGAAGCTATCAAAGCCACAGATATCTTTAAAAAAAATATGCAGCAAGAACTCCTAGAAAAAAAACAATTTGTGGAAATACACATTTTTTACTATACATTATGCATTTCTGTCGAAAGCATAATTCTTGAAGATTTTATCTGGGATTTTATACTATTGCTTTGCCTCATAAAGTCACCAGTAAAATCTCATAAAATTTGCTTTTGATAGAAATGCATAATGCCTAGTAAATGAAGCATAGGTATATTGAAAAATATATTTTTTCAAACATTGAACAACAATTTTGAAAATGGGGTGATTTACTAGCCTAAAATTCATTTCATCCCAATATATCAAATGGGTGAAAAATCTATGTTTTCAAAAATGGCTCCACTGAGTTTGCTGGAATCTAGCAAAGCCACAGATTGCTTTATGAAGGAGATGAATAAGAAATGTGGAAATAGGGGGATAAATTACCCTAAAATAAGCCCAACAATTATATCAAACCATCAAAAAATATTGTCAGCCAGCAAAGCTAAAGATTTTTCTATGATAGAGAGAAGCAAATAATTCGGGAGTTAGCCTAAAATGAACCTAAAATTATGAGATGTGTCCGGATGTGTCTCATGTTGAAATTTGTGAGTGGCTTTGCTAGTTTCTTTAGTATATAAAAATGTGTCTACCTCTTAGTCTACTCTATGTCTACCTATCAGTGGAAATTGGCCAAAAAATACAGATACTTGGTGGGGTATTCTGTCCTGGTATACTTCTCAGATAAGTAATAATTCTTCTCAGTTTGAAAAATTCAAATAATGGTTAAAGATAGATACTCACTCAATGAAGTATACCTCTCCACTTTCAGTATATGCTTTTTCCCACTTAGCTGGGAGAGGTCCCAAAGAATCAGTGATGTCATTATTATTTGCATGGTTGAAACTATTTCTCTCTTCTTCAAAGTAATTTTCTTCATCTGGATGAACAGTGTCATCTGTTTCAACCCTAAGAGGTTGTGAAAGGGGATTCTGTTCACTTGTATGACTCATATTCAAGAATTCCAAGGGCTCCAAGTCAATAGGAAAGTAATAATCATCTGAAGTAGTGTATTTGTATGAACATGTTCATGAGTCTTTTACTGAATTTCATTGAATACATTGGGGAACTGTTGCATACTTTCAATTTTATCTGATTAACAACTGCAGTCTTCCTCTTGTTGACAATTCACAAGAAACCATAAATAATCTATATTTACAAAATTCAGATCACTAAAATTTCATCTACTTTCATGTACCTATATTCGAAATAAAATTTAAGGATTTCGTGACCCCGTTCGACTCATCACATTCACATAATAAAATAAATAAACAATTATTTTAAAACAAAGTTTTTCTCTGTGTGTCATCACACAACACACACAACCTCAACATCAACACATCATATCACAGCACAGCAGAAAACACGGCACTTCATCAAACTTCATTCAAACCACGACCACCACAGAATGCCACAAACACAGTGTTTGAGTGCAAGGTTAGTAGAACTAACCTTGGTTTGGGTGTTCCTGTGCTTTTTTGCAGGGCTGTAACTAACCGAAAATATATGGTACTAGATCACACTTCGAAAAAGTACTAGAACTAGGAACTGATTCCTCAAATTTGCCAACAAATTGAAGCCACCAAAAAAACAAATATAGGTGGAATAATTTCACCATATGAGAATATCGGATTGAAAAATGAATTGCAATTGATCGAAGTGATGTAAATATTTTCAAAATAAAAAAAATGTTTCAAACTCATGAGAAAAATAATCTGGGACAATTAATTTTCATCCACGAACAATTTGAACTCATGATCTGAAATTCTGAAAACTCATTTAGTACTAGATTCCATCACTTGATGCAGAACTCTTTGAGGATCTGTTCTGTCTGTCTGTTCTGTTCCCGTTCTGTCCCGAATTTAATAATTTCGACTCATCGCCATATATATTTTTAGGTATACGTCAAAAATTAAAGTACCTGAGATAACGTACACTCATAAGTCCATTACCAACGCGAACGTGAAGAATTGAAAAATGCGCATGCGTAGCTGTCAGTTTCTACCACATGTTCTTGGCAACACTTCAACCCTCAATTTATATAAATTCCTGTTGGGTGGAAAAGAATACATGAATATACGTTACTCAACAAAGTGAAGCTAAATTCGTAAACATTCGATGAATTGCTATCGAACTCTTGGTTTCCTTACACCTCGCCGAGACACACTACATAATTTTCTATACAAATACGAGTAACTGATCTCATTCTGATGGGAGATGCGTAGGTAGGTACATCTCAGTAGGTACTAAAGATAGCACCGCTGAAAAGACGATTGAATAGACAGACAGGAGACCCAAGGGACCAACAAACTAGATTGACTGAGCCACTGTACAACAAACCAGTCACAACATTTGCATTATCAATTGTCATCAGAGGTCAGTGGTGTATTACTACACCATGTTTGAGGAAACTTTCTCACGTCATCTCGCATCACATCGTAGTTTTATCGCAAAAACACATCTATTTCCCGTTATAAATAAAGTATCGCAACTACATTGCAAAAATGATATCACTTTTGCATAGCAGAGAACTTATCGCTGCGACGTCGTATGGATGAAACTTGAGTGAGACATAATAACATCCCTCTGACATCGTAGCGACGTCTATGCGACATAGAACACAACACGAGTACGTCCCAGGGACGTCATTCATTTTCTACGAGGACGTCCCTGGGATATCCTGTGTCGGGACATGGTACATACTAGGGACGTCCCAGGGACATCCGCTTTCCACAAAAAGAGGCATCCTAGGGATGTCCTCCTGGTACGTCCCTGGGATGTACCAAGTACGAAGAAAGGATATCCCTAGGACGTCCCAAGGATATCCCAGGGACATCCCTTCGACAAAAGAAAAAAAAAAAAGGAGGTTGAGTACGGATTGAACCCGGGACCTTTGGCTTATCAGGCACGCATCTTACTCCATTGGCTATTGAGCCTCCTGAAGATTTATGTACTAAACAGATTTATAAACAGGACTTAACTACAGAAACCTGAATAAATACAACTTTGTTAGGATTTGGGTATAATTATTATATCATTCTTGGGTGTTTAAAAATGAGGGGCATTATGCATGTACGATTTCTGTTTGCGAAAAATGGTAATTTCTTAAGAAGTTCCGAAACTCAATTCTTCATTGTCGGGATGTCCACTGGTCAGCCACTGCGCGACATCCCCTGGATGTCCCAATCATGTCCTTGTACCGCGGGACAAAAAAAAGGACGTACCTAGGACATCCCTGTGTTGTTAGGGCTATACGAAATGTGCTTCTTATATTCTGAATTGGATTAAAAATCAAATACTTATATACTTGATGCTGAACATTTTCAAACTGTTGAGCGTATATATCTGAGATGGAGCAGATTATCCATTCACTCTAATATTTCAGGAGATACCTACAGGTAATCGTGGAAACCATAATATATAGTTGAACATAAAAACATTATTTATTCAAACTTGTACATTAATTTCATACTTGATTTTTGAAGAATTGTTAAAATTGCAATATTAAACTTCAATTCTAGTTCTAGAATTCAAACTAGTTGGATTTTCACTTTCCGAGTATTCAATAATGTATTCCATATAGAGGATATCCAGTAGACGTCCATTGGACGTTAAACGTCCACTCAAGTACGTCCATTGGACGTCCTCATGATCCGAAGTGGACGTACATTGTATGTGTAGATTTTGGACATACATGTGCTGTGTGGGATAACCCTCTGACTACTTTTTTACTCGTCACCAAATTTAATTACCTCTCTTGATGGCTTGTTTTGGTTATTTTTCTATCTCAGCTTTCTGACGAATAAAAATATCTTGTGCTGTTTCATGAGATGAACTTCCATCAGGAAAACTAATGCATTTCTGAACAAAACGTAATAAATATGAATTCATTTGTTCAGTACTTGTACACATTTTTATCCAAAATGATTGACATACAATAACAAGTGTAACAGAAGTAAATTATTATACCTCTCGATATTCATCTGACCATGCTTTATCACAGTCGAGATAACAGTAGCTGCTGATATTATGTCGACTGTAATAAAACATACCTGAAACTCTCGGTAGAAATATGATCTGAGCAAATTGCAATATTGGATCCTGCCCACACCAAGCTATAAATTGTTTCACTGTATGCTATGAAATTATCTACCTATACACACTTGATCGAAACAACAAATAATGAACAAATAATGCAAAAGGATTCCGGTGTCACTTCAAACAATTCGAATTAAAGTTCATAATATTTCAGCCCCTGATGCTCTTATCCTTGCAACAACACGCCTATGGTATGCTTACTGATGAAAAGCCCTGGCAGATCCCTTTTCAAATTTGGCATCGCAGAAATATGATCACAGTTTTTTCGAATTCAACAAGGTTGTTGGTTCCCCAGGCAGTGATTTCAGCAAGATCGTCAGTTCTTAGTTTCCTTGGAAGAAACTAAAATTCTAAAGGAGAATAACGCTGTATGGAGAATACTATCGTCTGCAAAGTTTTGTGGATAGGGCAAGTGGTTGCTCTCAACAGATCATTATTGATATGTTGTAGGAACGATGTTGCCAATGTTGGTGCCAAAATTGATCCTTATTGTAGAACGCCGGAATTGATAGCAAAATGGTATTAGAACGATACTCCGTCGATTAAAGATGGCATAGATGAGGTGGTAAGCCTTATGATATGGTAGTTTGTGAAGGAGTCCTTGGTGCCAAACACGGTCGAATATATCAAACGCCACAGCTATAGAGATTCCCCATGTTTTTCTAATAAAACTTGTCATATACAGGGTGTTTCAGATTTGAATGTACATACGACACCTGTAGATAGAGGACACTTCGATGGTTCCAGATCACCCTCCACTTATGTGCCTACCGTCTTCTATAACTGATAAGATACAGGACGTTATCTTGATTTTATCAAAATCTTCATCTGGTTATAATTTTTGAACGACTCCGTATAATCTATTCATACAAGGTGAAAATATCCCACTTATATCACACATCAAAACTAAATAAAAATCGAGATCAGAATCCAGGTTCGTCTTAAGGAAAGACAGAAAACTTTTTTTATTTCAAAAACAACACTCTGTATGGCACAATTTTGTGAATCTGTTTTGATATTGGGAAAGAGCTGAAGTTCCTGATCAGGATAATGAGAGAAAGTTATTAAATTATGCTATTGTCTTCGGTCCTTGATAGGTGTGCGAAGTTTCAATAACTTAATTCAACCTTCTGAAGTGAGTCAAAAACACCCGTCTCTCTGGATGTAACTATTCATACAAGTACTTGGAGCAAGACACTGCCATGTGCCTGGATGTAAAAAGTTATTCGAAGGAAAAAAATGAACATTTGGAATTTTGGTGGCGGAACATTTGAAATTTCTTGTGGAGTTACTTCATTCACCATTTTATTCGAGAAAAATAGCTCATCCTGAAAATCCTGATCAGGATAATGGAAAAAAGTTATTAAATTATGCTATTGTCATCGGTCCTTGATAGGTGTGCGAAGTTTAAATAATTTAATTCAACGTTCTGAAGTGAGGCAAATTCATCCGTTTCTCTGGATGTAACTATTCATACAAGTACTTGGAAGCTATTCGAAGCATTTCGAAGGAAAAAAACGAACATTTGGAATTTTGGTGGCGGAACATTTGGAATTTTTGGTGGGGAACATTTGAAATTTGGGTGGAGTTACTTCATTCACCATTTCATTCGAGAAAAAAACTCATCCTGGAGATCCTGATCAGGATAATGGAAAAAGCTATTTAAATATGCTCATATTGCAAATCACCCGTCTCTCTATACCCTTTCAACTTCAATTTCGGAATCGGTAACTTATATTTCGGAAAAAGTAATCTCGATTTCGGAATTGGTTACTTCGATTTCAGAAATGGTAAACTCAATTTCAGAAATGGTAAGTTGTATTTCAGAATTTGTAGGTTCAATTTCAGAAAATAAATCCTTATATTAGTTCGAAATGTTTCCAATTGCATGTGTGATTAACAAACCATATTACAATATTCAACTGTTCAAAAACAATTCAATAACATAATTATAATCTCAATTTAATCCACAGATGTCTTCTATCCAAATCGCAGAAGGATAGTAGCGTTGCACATGATTATAAGAATGCAAACACATTTGAGGTGTTATCATTTTCATTGAATGATCTGCACATTCTTCAAGACATCGCAGTCTGAATTCTATCTGGCTGAGCAATCTGTTCGGATCCCCAGCTATGACCCTTTGGCGATGCTCTTGAAAAAGCTCTTCACTTCTGACTTGAAGGCACTCCATATAATGTTCAATCGAATTCAACATAGGGCTG